TAAAAAAATAATAAAAACCCAGTCTTTCCAGGATGAACAAAACAAAAATCTTTTACTGTCCTTATGGAACATGGATTTTATATTTTTTAAAAATCCAATTTCACTATATGCAAAAAGATACATAAAATATGCACTGATGTCATCACCAATATAAAACGAACTAGCCATCATTTGGCTAATTCTCATTACTGCAGAGCACCAACAGCTACTTGATTATATCTGCTCTAACATTCATTTAAGCTTTCTTCTAAAAATATCACCCCAAGTGTTTACTTACTGCCTGATGTTATACTGAAATAGCAAAGGAAACCTCAGACTTCCGCACTTGGGATCACTGAGCACCAGGTGCACTTTGTGGGAAGATACACTTGATTTGTAGAAAGCAAAATGTTTTTGGTAAGACTGCCTCAAAAAATGCTGAAGACTAAATCCCTAAAATAAGGCCCTGTTGTTGCCCTTGACATTTAAGATTTAAGAGTAATAGGTGTTAAAGTACCATGTTGTAAGGTTATTATCTTTTCAGGTTATCCTAGAAAAGGTATGATAATATTCTTGGGACACTGAATTTTCCCTTTTCCTTGCAGCAGAGGTTACTCCTTCTAAAGGGGCAGGAAGTTTACAGAGGCGAAGCTGCTAAAAATCTTTTTACAGAAATACTGCAAGTTAAACAATTCCACATTAACACAGTAGAATGTGGTTGGAGTCAGGAAATGATTTCTTTATAAGAACTGCCCATTAGTTAATTTGAATTGTAACTGTAAGTAGAAAGAATAAGGAATGTTCTATTAAGTGTCACACAATTGCCTTGTAGATGGAGTCACTGTCTTCTGCTGGTATCTATCACTTTTTCATGAATTATACAATCATAACATTGATTTTATGCAGACGTTATCATGTAAACCTCATAAAATCTAAGGTAAGGCACATATTGTGCAAATATTCACATCTTTTTAAACTGTTCTCGCTGCTTAAATTAAGTGTCACATGCACAGCAACACAATGCCAGGGGCACCTCACTTAGTCAATGGACTATCTGACCAGGAACATGAGATAAGTCTGTTTCAATGAAATGGGACAGATACAAAATGCTTATAAGGATCAATGTTTTTTGTGAGGCATGTCTACACTGGCACCAAGATAGTTCCTGACTGGCTCCAGCTATAGATGGGAAACTGGGAGACAATTCCTCATGCATGGCTATTCAGAAAAATATATCTAAGCAATCAAGAAAATGGCCTGAACTAGTTTTCCTTCAAACAGATCAGCTTCTTCCAGACAGCTCCCTTCCTGGTATGTTAAGACTTCCACTTCTATCATTCCCAGCCGGCATGGATGACACCAATGGGGAAAGGCTGATGCAAAGGATATTTTGTCTTTCTTTTGGCCAACAAGGTTTGTACTTACAATATCTGTATCACGTTATTTACCCACAACAGATGATCCGGCCTTCAGAAGAAATTCAACTGAAGTAAATTCAATTCAATCTCTTCAGTGAGACAATTTCAAGTCATAATAAAATTACTGTAAAAAGATTCTTGAAGAGATCAGAAGTGGCTGGAGTTAGATTACTTGCTGAATCAACAGCAGTAAAAAAAACTCAATTGTTTCCATTATTCAATCTTTTTCTTTAGGCATTTAAAATGCAACCATCCATTCCCATATAATTTTATAAACAAAATTATATATGGTTTTGATTTCACAGCAAAACTTTTTCAAAACGAAGAATGCCAAATCTTCAAATGAATCAAGAGAGCACAAAAAGTAAAGAATGAAAGAAATTATTCCTTAACATAAGTTTTTATTAATCCTTCCCTCACAGTACCTTTGATCTCTCTAGCAGTTCTTTTATTCTACATTGCCCCAAATCTACAACGAAATTCTAAAGTTTCGTTAACAGTGATTCACATAGCAAAGTAATAGTCACACTCTATAATAACTGTGGTACCTAAATTTGAGAATCTGTCAAGAATGAAAGAAATTATTCCTTAACATAAGTTTTTATTAATCCTTCCCTCACAGTACCTTTGATCTCTCTAGCAGTTCTTTTATTCTACATTGCCCCAAATCTACAGCGAAATTCTAAAGTTTCGTTAACAGTGATTCACATAGCAAAGTAATAGTCACACTCTATAATAACTGTGGTGCCTAAATTTGAGAATCTGTCTCTCCAGATTGTATCCGACAACTAAACTGCAATCCAAGCATTTCTAGAGGATCACATGTCCCCATCCCTACATTGGCAATTTCGCTCAGGTGGGAGAATATTAGGCTGGGTGGCTACAGATTCAAGCCAAATTAAGTCTGCACACGTTTTAGAAGGTGATCTAATGAATCCAAGCATTTAAAACAGGTTTCAAACATTTTAAGACACTTTAAAAATAGCTTTTGACAGGTCCGTTTTCACTATTTTTAAAGTGACTTAAAAGATTCAAAAACAGTTTAAATGCTTGGAATCGTTAGTGCACCTTCTAAAACACGTGCAAACTTAATTTGGCTTTGATCTGACTCTTCGTTAATTTTTGGTGAATTTTCCCACCCATTGAAATGCATTGAACCAAAGTTTGGCAGCTGTCAAACCTGCAGTTCAATGCTTTCCAATGGGGGGAGAAAAAAATTCACCAAAAATTAACAAAGAGTCCGATCAAAGCCAAATTAAGTTTGCACATGTTTTAGAATCGTTTTTGAACTTTTTAAGACACACTTAAAATTGCAAAAAGGGACATTGCAAAACCATTGGAATGGATTGAAAAGGTTTCAATGCATTCCAATGGGGGAAACATTGTATTGCTTAGCGATGTTTCCTATGGGGATTTTCGCTTAAGGACGGCAATCCGTTCCCATTGGAACGGATTAACTGGTTTTCAATGCATTCCTATGGGAAATGGTGTTTCGCTTAGCGATGTTTTCCCACAGCGATGTTTTTTTGGAACCAATTAACATCGTTAAGCGAGGCACCACTGTATGTAGCTTCTTCTGTTTATCTTTAAGTGTCCTTTCTCTGAGATATAATGTCCACTTAACTAATCAAAAACTAACCATTTCCATCAGGGGTATACAAACTTTTTTTTGTGTCAGCTGGGAGACCAAGGACTGCACATACAAATGAACACACAGATGCATACTCTCATTGGAAATTTAAGTTCATCAGGGTAAAGTGAGGCTTAAAGTTTCTCCAACAGAGCAGTGGAAGGTAATTGGAATGTGCTGTGTAGAGGTTAAAAAGGAGAGCTGTCCCCACAACCATCTGCTGAAACTTAGCATTAAATGGGATTGAACCACTCTAAGGAATGCGCTGTGTAGAGGTTAAAAAGGAGAGCTGTCCCCACAACCATCTGCTGAAACTTAGCCTACTTCCACCAAGTTCTACCTGTGTCACTTGCGCGAGTCAGGAGGTGAGGCTGAGGAGCCTAACGCCGAGGGAGGCCCGGAAAGAAAAGACAAGAAATCGGGCCTTCTCGGCGGTGGCTCCTCGCCTCTGGAATAACCTTCCCCCGACATCCGCGCAGCTCCCTTGCTGGGTATTTTTAAAAATCAATTAAAAACACTGATGTTTCGGCAGGCCTTCCCCGCCAATTTCTGATCTTTCCTCTTTTTTCTCTCCCCTCGTCTTTGTCCCACCTTGTCTAAGTTTTTCCCCTTATTTAAAATTGTTTTAATCATATTGTAACTACGCTTGTTGTAAGCTGCCTAGAGTGGTCTTAAGTGGCTAGATAGGCGGGATATAAATAAAATAAATAAATAAGTAAAAATAAATAGCATTAAATGGGATAGAACCACCCTAAGATGCTGCCAATTCAAGCAGTCTATCCAGAGAAACATCATAGATACTTGCGCTGAAATGGCAAGAGATCCAAGAAAATCAAGATGGATTACGCTCCATTTGTCACCTAGGTGTCACAGATCATCTGAATGAGTGACTAAGGCAGGTTCTCTACAAAAACTGAGCTTGATTGAAATGAACCCAGAATGACCCATCTCATTCAAGAGTGCTTGGAATTGCATAGCCATGCTGAAGCACTTTGCTCACAAATGAGATATCAGCAATTGTGCAATCGTTACAAAAATCTTCAGAGTCCAAGACAGGTTTCTTCAGAAGCAGCCACGACACTGCCTCCTTTAAGGTCTCTAGGAACAGTATCTCTCTCTGGGAGACATTTGGCACATCAGCAAGAAGAACAGGCATTTTCTAGGTTCCTTAAAAATCTGATGGTTTGAAAATAAAAAGAGCACAAATAAATTTCCAGCTCTTTGTATAGTGAACAGTCTTCCTGCAAGGGAAGGAAGGTGAGGTGGATGGATGGGTGGATAGACTAATTCACCAGATCATTCTCTTTATCTCTGTGGAAGTAATCTACAGAAGGAGATAGTTTCCACCCCATACCTCTTCCTTTAATTAGCAGGAGAACAAAGAGTGTGAAATAGTTAAAAAAAAAAAAGCCCTTTTCTTCCTTTTAGAATGACCCATCTCATTCAAGAGTGCTTGGAATTGCATAGCCATGCTGAAGCACTTTGCTCACAAATGAGATATCAGCAATTGTGCAATCGTTACAAAAATCTTCAGAGTCCAAGACAGGTTTCTTCAGAAGCAGCCACGACACTGCCTCCTTTAAGGTCTCTAGGAACAGTATCTCTCTCTGGGAGACATTTGGCACATCAGCAAGAAGAACAGGCATTTTCTAGGTTCCTTAAAAATCTGACGGTTTGAAAATAAAAAGAGCACAAATAAATTTCCAGCTCTTTGTATAGTGAACAGTCTTCCTGCAAGGGAAGGAAGGTGAGGTGGATGGATGGATGGATAGACTAATTCACCAGATCATTCTCTTTATCTCTGTGGAAGTAATCTACAGAAGGAGATAGTTTCCACCCCATACCCCTTCTTTAATTAGTAGGAGAACAAAGAGTGCGAAATAGTTTTTAAAAAAGCCCTTTTCTTCCTTTCTCACATTTGTTCTTCTACAGCATTTTGATTTTTTTTAAAGAGTCTGTATGTAGCCACTTACCTGATTGCATGTATTGATATCTATTCCTCCCTTTAGAAATTCCACCACTTTGTCCAGATTGCCAGCCCTGGCAGCTCGGAGAAAGCTTGCATTGCTGTCAGACTGCAAAAAAGAAGAAACCAAATAAATAAATTAATAATGAATTTCTATTTTAAAAGTAGGCAGTACAAACATGAATAAATGCCTGTATAATTTATTTTACTGAAGATCCAACCAATTCCCTGTTGATTCTGGCATTTCTTATCTTAAGATAATACATGAATGTAGAGAATTGTTGGCCGCATTTCATCTTGTGCATAAAACAGTATGGGAAGCCAACGATGAAACATTTAATGGAATTAGGAATTCTCCACAGATATCTTCACATAACCAGCATTCAGGACACAAACAGATGATAACTACCAGCTTATCCTTGGGCAGGATGCCATATAAAGCCAGATGAACAAATGGTTATATATACAACTTATTAACTTACTACCTGGTCAACATTTTCTATATTCAGCTAACATCGAGATTCAAAAGAAGGTATTTTGCCACAACTTCTTACAAACAAGAATATGGATAGATTAATTAGCAGGATCTTTAGTTTCTCAATTTTCCTCTCTTAAATTCATTTCATTCCATTTCCTCATTAGTCTGCAAATCATTCTTTGAAACTCCCCATGAAAATACCATATTTTTCTTACAAGATGACCCAAAGTATAAGACAACACCCCTTTTCTAACCCCCAAATTAGAAAATTTGCACACTCGTGTCCTTTTGATCCTCCCACCCTTTCCCAGATGCATTTCCCACTTGCTAAGCCCTGCGGAGCTTAGGAAATGGGTAATGCAGTACCCCTTTGATTCTTATGCCCTTTCACGGCTGCTTTACTCTGTGGCTTTGCAAAAGGCGGGGAAAGCAGCTGCCTGCAGTGTATAAAATGACCCTCAATTTTTGGTCTAATTATATAAGTAAAAAAGTCTTGTTTTATACACGGAAAAATACAGTAAAATATTTTCTTATGCATGTCTCCTAATATATTTCCAGCCACATTAGTCTGATGCTGCAAAAAGAATAAACTCATGACACTCTAGACACTAACAAGTACCATTTGACATATTAACTTGCATACTCTTGATATACAGAGGAAAGCAACAAGGGGTACTATGGCACCTTTAAGATTAAAATGCTTTACCTGGCATGAGCATTTCATGACATGTATGAGAAAATCAGTATGCTTAACTTAAAAACAAATTCTGCCATCTTTGCTTCTTCCATTTACATGCTCACATGCAGTTCTAAACTGGAACAAGGATGTGAGTGTGCACATACTCAAAAACTGCTGGAATTTTTGCCACATCTCAGCAACACCTTAGACTCTTCTTGTGTTAAGAACAAAAATCTAAAGCGGGCTCTGTAATTTGGTCAAATTGCTATATGGAAGCTGGTGAATGCCTGTATAGGACCTGCGTCTTTAGCTATGTTCTCCTGGTTGTCAGCCTTCAGACAACTCTATGATCTTTCATTTCTGTCTGCAGAAGCAAAGCACACTGCTCTGTTTATGTATCACAGTAGCTACACTTATTTTTCACCTTTCCTCCAGTGAGTTTGAGGCTATGTCTTTGGCTTGCCTCCTGCATAGTTTCTTCTTGCAACAAAAAACCATCCCTTTTCATTGATTCTTTTTGCTCTCAACTCCCTGTCTTGGTTTAACCTTCTCTTTTCTCCACTGTTCACTTCCTCAGCTCTACAGTTTGCCTTGTTTTCTCATGTAGCCATTTTGCCTCCTGCGCTTTATGTCATCTCCTTGACTTATTTGTGCTATGTTCCTAAGCCTTACTTTGCTCTTTCCTATCAGAAAACACACTCTATATGAAGGTGGACATTTTACTTCCTTAACACAGCTGCGTTGTTTGTCCGACATTTAGGGTGGATTCCACCTCACAACAGATAGAACTGTTCAGAGCTGCTCAACCAAAATCTTAGAGGAACACTCACAGTGGCTCAAGATGGTTATTCAACACATGTAATAAAGTTTTATAAATTCACTATGGCTAAAGTGATAGACTAGGACTGGTTTTAAAAACTGCACCTGGCCATGAAACTTATTAGGTCACCCTGAACCAGTTATCACCTGCCACCTTAACATACCTGAACTGACTGCAGTGTTGACAGAATAGTAATGATGGTGCTGGTGTGTTTGTACTTTGAACCATGCACATCGTGCTGAAGAAAGAGTATCAGGAAAAAAATAATGTCAGAGTGTTGAATGTTACATTCTAAAAGGAACTCTTTTTCCTCTGTGTTACTTATTACTTCTCATCAGCCAGATTGCTCTTATCACCGGTCCAAGTTTTTTTGTGTTCTCTTTTAATAACTATTTTATGTTAACTGGGGGAACAGAAAATAACTGGGAAATATATCTGGTTCCATCTAATGGCTATATCTAATATTATTAGTGGCTATTTCTGATACTAAAATCTGTTTTTTAAAAAACTTGCCAAGTAGGACTTATAAGAGAAGGGCAAAAAACCTTAACATTTTCAAAACTCCTCTAAAATGCCCTGAAATTCCTTTCAAGCATAACTTTTTAAAATAACTTAGGTATTAGTAAGGTAAAGGTTCCCCTTGACATTTAGTCCAGCCGTGTTTGACTCTAGGGGGCGGTGCTCATCCCCATCTCCAAGCCGTAAAGCCAGCATTTGTCTGAAGCCAGTTTCCGTGGTCACTAGGCCAGTGCGACTAGACACAGAACACTGTTACCTTCCCACCGTGGTGGTACCTATTCATCTACTTGCATTTACATGCTTTTGAACTGCTGTGTTGGCAGGAGCTAGGACAAGTGACGGGAGCTCACTCCGTCGCCTGGATTCAATCTTACGACTGCTAGTCTTCTGACCTTGCAGCACAGAGGCTTCTGCAGTTTAACCTGCAGCACCACCACATCCCTTAGTTATTAGTATCTCTCCCTGAAAGATAACTTTGCAACCGATAATTGGATTTTTGTTCCCCAAAAAGCAACTAGTCACTTGCAAGCTCTGAGTAATGCAGTAGAGAAAAGTCACTAAATCTTATCCATAAGTATACAGCCTCAAGCAGCAAAATATTAAACACTGTTTATTCTGAAGCAAATCCCAGTAAACTGAATAGAGCTAGAGCACTTAGGAAGTGTGTTTATAACTGCAATGCACTGCTGTCTTCATACCACATACAATACATATAAGCTTGTGTGCTGAAATGTGAAACAGCACAACACTATCAATGCTGAAAGACAGTTGCAGTAAGGCTGCAATTTTTTTTAGCACAACACTATCAATGCTGAAAGACAGTTGCAGTAAGGTTGCAATAATTTTTTGAGATTTATTGCAAAAATAACAGAAAGTACATGAAAATTACTTCTAACAAGATGAAGAAAATACTCTTGTATAGCAGTGTTTTACCTCAGAACAAGTGACAGTCATCCTGTACTCTTTACTGTTAAGCAAGCAGGCCACTAATCTCAGTATACTGCATCAATGCTGAAAGACAGTTGCAGTAAGGTTGCAATAATTTTTTGAGATTTATTGCAAAAATAACAGAAAGTACATGAAAATTACTTCTAACAAGATGAAGAAAATACTCTTGTATAGCAGTGTTTTACCTCAGAACAAGTGACAGTCATCCTGTACTCTTTACTGTTAAGCAAGCAGGCCACTAATCTCAGTATACTGCAGAGAGGGAAGGCAACAGAGATATATGTTTTGTCAGGGTCTTTTTCTACTCTTCTCTTTCCAGCTAGCAAAGCACTGTAATCATGACGCAGCAGGAACAGTGTCTGTCACACACTTGAAAGAGATACAGTATGTTCCCCAGCAAAGGCAGACTTTGTGCATTGCAGCAGAATTGCTATTACAAGTGCAGATACTAAAGCACAAATCTACAATGCGAACCAATCTGCTCTGCCTTCAGCCTACACTACAGAGCACATCAATTTCATGGTATAGGCATGCAAATACTGTATTCCAATTAATTCTGTTATATTCTTTCATAGTTATTTATTGGTTAATAGCAGCTATCTCAAGCCCCTTAAATATGTTCAGTAGGGGATTATTGAAGCATTCCTTGGGGCAGACTTTTGTGGCAGATTCTGCTCTAACATTGTTGTTGTTGTTGTTTAGTCGTTTAGTCGTGTCTGACTCTTTGTGACCCCATGGACCAGAGCATGCCAGGCCCTCCTTTATTCTCTTTCTGTTCATGGGGCATTCTTGGCAAAGATACTGGAGTGGCATTGCCAGTTCCTACTCCAGGTGGATTCTGTTTAGTCGGAGCTTTCCACTATGACCTGTCTGTCTTGGGTGTCCCTGCACAGCATAGCCCATAGATGCTCTGAGTTACTCAAGCCCCTTCTCCATGACAAGGCAGCAATTCATGAAGAGGCTCTAATGTACATAGGTTAAAATAGAACAAGTCCTACTGTGTCTTAAAGACTATTAAGTCCTATTTGGCAGAAGCTTCTGTGGACTGCAAACCACTTCAACAGATGCTGTTATCTTTTTTATCACTGGTATGAAATGAAACAAACTGCAAACCATGAAAACCTGCATCAAATAAACTGTGTTTTTCTTTAAGGTATTACAACATTCCTGGCATCACATTACAGGTACATGATCACAGAAGGGCAACTATACAAGCATGTTCTCTCACCATACTCTGCGCTGAAAGACTCAGTCATGCAATGGTTCTAGAGCTGTGCACATAACCAATCAATTGAAGGACATCCCTCCAAGGGGAAAAACTGCTGCTTCACTGCATGGCAATGATGAAATGGATACAGGATAATGCTTGTATGCTTTTCTTTTCTTTCTTTCTTTCTTTTTTGGTTACCAGGATTTTAGCTTTATTGACTAAGAGGACAATCTCCCCATAATATGTTAATCAGAGCCCCTATGTACGAGCTGACTGTTGGCTACACAATGGGTCTGCATAACTGTGTGTCCTGCAAAAATAGGATGTCTTATCAAGCAAAGATAGCAGAGATGCACCTTCCTACATAGAAGTGGATACTGGGGATATGATGTCACTTTCCTCACATACACATTTCCTCTCTAAGTTAAAACATCCTACCATCTTAAAAGCTATAT